TTAGAAGGATCTATTATTGATTGAAATTTATACTACGTGCAGATCATGGTTAGGATGTTAACTGGCGAAAACAGTTGAGCGCACTTCTTTACTTAATTTTCGAAAAAATTGGATATGAATATTGTAAGCTCTTTTTTAAAATAAAGATCCTTTCCGTCAAGCAATAACGTGGTGTAATGGTTAAATGTGCCATCAATAGGGGTTCATTTCCTTTTGCAGTATTTTTGTAATTCCACACTTTATACCCATCGTAAATAAAATGAGAAACTATATAAGTATTTTTTATTAGAAATATACTTACATACAATTTTTTCTGTCATTTATATATTTTATTTCCTCTTATGAAAAGCAGCATTTCTCTTTTTTGAAGAAAAACATTTTATTGTTTTCAAAGTTTTTTATTTTTTATTTTTTTTTTTAATTTCACATCAAAAAATTTTGTTCTGCAGGAATTTTATAATAATTATTCATGATTGAAGTAGTCGGAACCAAACACTCCATCAGAACAGGAAACTTTGTTCGAAATCAGAACCAAGCACTTTTATTCAACAGAAAATTTTATTCGGTTCGGAAAAGGTACATAATAATGTACAAGAATAGAAAATTCTTTTAGAATGATTTGCTTGCGAGGAATTGCAGTCAAAAGTTTCAGCTGAGAAAATAAACAAAAACAGTACAGCCATGATACAAAAATTGCTGATGAGCCTGTATCTTCAGCAAAAGAAGGCGAACAGTTTTCATGAATGAGTTTATTTTCCAGTCGACGTACTTAGAAACCTCGGTACATGAAAAAACTCGGCAGTCATGAGGTGTTCTGTGATAAGAAAAATATTGTTTATCTGTATTTACAATGAACATTATCTTGGTACAATCAAATTCATAAAGCGATCTTGTGTACTGATATTGACAAATTCAAGAACTGATTTATTGTGTTTCATTATCCTGTAATTTCAAATATATATATATATATATTTCTATATCTCTCGTATTCAATGTTTCAGCTGATCAGCCGTTGGCTAGCAAGATTAGCTATCGGTTAGCACCGGACACGAAGTTTTAGAAAAAAATTCTGTGTTCTTGGAAAAAATTAACATTTTATGAAAATAAAAAAGTAATATTTTAAAGAAATAGTACGCTTTTAAATATTATAAGTGTCATCTTTGGCTTGTGTAATATTTCACTGTTTGACTGTAAAGTGTAGCATCGGTGCTCTCTCCTTGATGTCAGAACTATCGATAGAAAGTCAGTTGGAGAAAGAGTCGTTTTCACTAATATGTCTGCTCCGAGTTTGTTAAAGTAAAATAAAAAATATCTTTGTTAGTGTTTTTAAATAATTTTCCTGTTTTTTGATCAAACACATTACAATAGGTAAAATGTATGTTTCTAGTAAAAAAAATGTTTGTTTATGTAATTTTGCTACATTTTTTACAATGGGTGTAATGCATGGAATATATATTATATAATCCGTATGCAATCGATATTATTCAAGATGGTTTTCCAATTTCTGATATAATACCAATTGACACAACATCTGGAGAAATAGAAATAATAGAAATGAAGGTGAACCAGACATAACATATCTCTTTTTCTGACTAAATTTTGGAAATTCGTATCAGAAACAAAATATCCTAACTTAAAGAAAGGAGCTTGTAGACTCTTTTCAATTTTTGGCCCAACATGTTCCTGTGAATGTTTATACTACTCAATTATGAAGTTTATTAAATCAAAATATCCTTTACAATTAATCAACATCTTAAAGAATTGATGTGAACAGCCTTGAGAAATTATACACTAGACTTTTAAAAAAATATCAAATGAAAATTGACTGAACTTATACTTATTAAATTTTTTGTTAATTGTTAATTTTTTGTTAATTTTTTTCAAATTGTTTTTATTTTATAAAATTTTTATCTATATTTTTTAATTCATATTGTTTATTTGATTTTTAATAAAGTTAAAAATATTAACTAGTGTATCTAATTTTATTATAAATACTACATGGCCTAAAAGAAATATGGAACCTGTAGGAAGCTCCTGTTGTCCTAACTTCTGCCCATCCTTTTCATAGAATGTTCCATCTACTATCTGAATGCACCTATAGTTGTATGGCCAGCTCCGCTTTGGAGTGCACTACAGGCCATTTGTATGGATTGGGTGTGTTTAACACGATGCTTTATGTAATTATTCTTATTTGAAGATGTTCCATTTGGAGTAGTTATCAAACTTTGGAGAATGACACTTGAGGACACGGATAGGCGGAAAAGGTGACTATGGATCAAAATTCCATCATTGTGCATAATTGTTGTATTTCTTTTAATATTTCATAAACTTTCGATGATATTTGATGTACTTTTTTATCATTAAAATCAAAATCGATCATAATCTTAAATGTTTGCCTACGAAGCAAAAGTTGACAGAGAATTGCCAAGACCAGCTGTGCCTCATCTCCAAAGTCGCCTTGGGTTACCATTTCTGGTAAGCCACCCGAATTCAACAAAGCGCTGGGCCTTACCACCACGCCCAACGACAGCTACCCACGTTAGAGCATCGAGACCCCGATGGCTGCTCCTTCCACTCAGAAGCCAATGAAAGGTTTGGTTGGTGGAGGTGGGACGAAATCAAATAAGTGTATTAATACATCACTTTTAATGTACATAAAATATTAACGAAAGTATATCAAATCAAATGTTAACGAAGTACATCAAATATCGCCAAAAAAGTACGAAAGAACTTTTTCATCAACAGACATGTTGATTATCCTGGTTTCCAGGATTACTCATTGCTACTGTTTGATTGTCAAAGAATTTTCAATTTTAAATCTTAAAACATAACATCCCGATTCTATCCACATCAAAATACACTATGTGGAAGAAAGTGACGGGACACGACACTATAACGACATAAACTCATATTTATTAAAATTAATAGGAGGTAGGGCCTCCTTTGGCTGCGATCACAGCTGCAACCCTTCTGGGCATGCTTTCCACTAAATTAGCCATAGTGGCAATAGGAATTTCCTTCCAAATGTTTAACAGGAAGTTCCATAGTTCAGGCTTGCTTTTGGGGAGTGGGGTGCAGGCCCTCAACCGAAGGTCCAATTCGTCCCAGAGATGTTCAATTGGGTTAAGATCAGGGCTCTGCGCTGGCCACTCCATGCGTTTAACGTTGTTGTTCACATACCAATCAAGAGTTCTCCTTGCAACATGGCATGTTGCGTTGTCGTCTTGATACCAGCAATCATCCATACCATACGTTGCCCACAAGGTAGGAAGGACATGATTGTCGAGAATATCACAGTATCTATCGACATTCATCGCACCATCAACCTTCACCAGTGGGCCAGCCCCATACCAGGAAAAAAGGCCCATATCATCAATCCTCCTCCACCAAACTTTACAGTTGGGACGACACACTCGGGCAAAAGGCGTTCTCCTGGTAAATACCATACCCAAATACGTCCATCGGAACGGAAAAGGGTAAATCGTGAGTCGTCACTCCAAAGGGCGCGTTTCCAGTCATCCAGAGTCCAAGTACGGGGGTCTTTGGCTCATCGAAGGTGCGCTTTCTTGTTGGTTTTCGTAATCAAAGGCTTATGGGCCGCCGAACGTCCAGTGTAACCTGACTTATGGGCCTCGATACGAAGAGTCTTGGTCGAAACGGCCACACCTGTGGCTTGTCTAAACTCATTAGAGATGTTATCCATGGATGTTTGACGGTTACTTCGAATCTCCCTGCCGAGCACCCGCCGGTCCCTGCTGGTGAGAACTGTAGGTCGTCCACTTCGGGGTTTGTTCTGACAGTGTCCCTCAGTCTTGTAGCGGCACACAACACGCGCTACAGTTGATTTTGATCAGTTACGGAGACGGGATATCTCCCTAATTGACACCTTGGCAAGATGCAATCCAACCAACACACCTTTCTCGAACTCAGACAACTCTTCCCGTGGCGGCATCTTGACAAAAAATAACTGTAGTCGACTCCATAAAGTATTTATAGGATATGGCTGACACGTGATACCTATTATTGCGCATGTGTCAGCTATATTGTCAACTTTTCTACTTTTCGAGGGGTGTCCCGTCACTTTCTTCCAGATAGTGTATTTATGTAGTAGAGGATATTTTTTTATAAGATAGCCAATAAATCGTAAGTCAAAACTAAAACATCTTCATAACCTAGACAGAATTTTCTAATTATATAGATGATAAAAAGTTTATTTAATTTTATTGATGAACGTATGTATACAAAGGTTTGAATATTTTCGCTGCGAAATGGAAGAATACAATAATTCATAAACTTGTTACTAATATAACTTTTTTGACAGTTAATATATTTTCGTTTTCACTTTAAAGAATTTTTTCCATATATTGCAAATATAAATAAAACATTAATAATGAAAAACGTTTGGGAGAAGTGACAGAATTTTTCCATCTCTAGGGAAACGCGACATGGAAAAAAATCACTGACACCAATGAAATCAGAATTAGTATCACTGCTGTATCATTCAAATTCTTGATGTCGGGATTGCCCAGTTATTCTGTGACAAAAAGAAATTGTTCTTGTGCATTCTACAACTTATTCAAGTTTTGCTATAGTTTTTTTAAACATTCTGCATGTATCTATAGTGTAGTGTCCCTGTAGTTCAAATTTTGCTATAGTTTCTCTAAACAAACAAAATCCTTGTATAATGAAATTAATATTTGTGTTGTTGTTGTTGTTTGTTGTTGTTTCTTATCCCACTTGGCTGGCCAAGCCCACGAGCCCATATGGACTCATGATTGAAGGGGAAGGAAGCAGCTTCTGTTGTGATGGAGCCCCCGTAGGTAGAAGCCTGACTTTTGCTCCGTGACGCTCTTACGGTCATAGAAGACCGGGACCTACGGCTTAAAGTGGATTCCGAACCACTACAAACATCCATGGCACCGCCGGGATTCGAACCCGAAACCTGTGGCACCGAGCGCCAGAGCGCTAGACCACTCGGCCATTCAGGTCCCAAATTTGCCAACGGCACGCAGTGTTCCCAGGTGGTCACCCACCCAAGTACTGACCGCGCCCAATGATGCTTAACTTCGGTGATCTAACGAGAACCGGTATATTATTCAGCATGGTACGGCCGTAATATTTGTTAATTAAATAAAAACGAATAAATAATAATAAAGGAGAGAACAAATTATTTAGCTGTCCAATTACATAAAATATTTATTAAAGAAAGATCACTGACGTCTGAACATTTATTATACGTTAGGCAAGTAGAACCAAGAGAAAGTTTGAGTTCTAAAGTTGAGAAATTAATTTTACATCGAAAGCCAAAGTTGGTTTAATTTATTTTGTTTTGTTATTAATTAATCTATTAATTCAAAGATAATTTTTGAAGTCTTTCTTATTCTCATTCACACAAATTCTTAAGGATTATTTATTAGTGAAAAAATCAAATTATCTTATACGAATATGAGCATAAGAACATTCTAAGATCAATGCCATTATTTCCGATGCAGAATTATTTTGCAGACGATTCTTGAACTAAATAGTTCGAAAACGTAATTTATCAATAAAAACATATGAGGTCTTTATTTAATTAAAAAATAATTCATAAGAATTTTAATCTGTGCACCAGATAAAAGAGTAGTAATTCTGTTAAAAATAAGCTTTTAAGTGTTATAGTTTTTAAGTTTTTGAAAATACAAATTTTTAACTTTATATATAAAGAGATTGTCTTTAGTGTAAAAAAAAATTTTTTTTCCAGTTTAAAATATTTTTTCTATTGCTTTTGATGTAGAAACAAACTGCCTTCAATTTTGCCAAATTTTAATAGTTATCTCTTCTTTCCATAGCTATCTGTCTCATCTCAGTCTGCCTTTTTTTATTTTTATTTCAGCTGATTTTCTTGAAATAGAAAAAAATAGAGTTACTTTATAACTATTTTGTATAATTAGGAATTATTTTTATGGAATTTATTGCAACGGACAAGCAGCAATGAAAAGCAACAGAGGTGATTTATATCATTTATCAGAATTAGAGATACAAAAGCAATGGGAAAATGAAAATTACTTTTTTAATATTAAATAGCTTTTAAACTAAAAAAGAATGAGATGATTCTTGATTTTAAAAAAATTCTGGACATTGAAACGTCACACACACAAAAAAAAGAAAACACCCTGAAGAAAAATAAAAGAAAGATGGAGGGCAATCGATACATCAAAGGTTTATCCGATTTATCGAAAAAATTTATAAGTTGATCTGATGTATATCTATAGAGAACGAAGCAGTTAAAATTTCAGAGGAATTAAGTCATTTTTTCAAGAGATGCAATTACATACAGCGAAACAATTAACAAGTCTTTGGTCCACCACTGGCCATGCAAGCTGCTATTCGGAATTAATTTGTAGATTTGAAGAGCATCCCGCTGTGGAATTTCTATCCAAACTCTTCTCATTTGCCAAGTTATATCTTTAAGATCCTATGGAAGTCAGAAGAAGTTCTATTGAAAAGTGATACGACAATCTAATAACTGGCTTGGTGTGACAAACATGAAAATAATCAATAGAAATTATTACTGTGTGCGCCGGGCATTATCCTGTAGAATTATTAAACCGACGTGCCATGAAACGAAGGTCAACAGAAAGGGAAGTAAAATATCATATATGCATCTTCTTGCTGTTAAGATTGTAGACAACAAATGAAATAACATTGCTGATCCCTACTCTCGAATTTCGAGATATGTATCTAGCAGAAGTTAGGTAAATAACTTACAGTGGTCCTGGATTATCTCGAAACACATCGTTGCTTGTTATTGGCACTCAGTTCGAAGCAAGATTCATCGCTGAAAAGAATTATATTCCACCCAGAGTGATTTCTGGTCAAAGAAGCCTGGTATTACTGCAAGAATGCTTGTCGGTGTGCGCAGCTAAGGGTTAATGGGGGCAATGGGCACTATAAACTCGGCGTAATATACACCATAAGCTCAGACCATTTCTCTGAATTGCTATCAATGATCTCTGTAATCACTTATGTCCTCATTGCATGTCGGATCATTGGTAATGATAAATCAGGTGTCGTGAGAGCAACTCTAATGATCGCTTGGTCGTCACATTCTGTCGTCTCTATCGATCGACCATTGAGTTCTTGACATTGAATTCTGCTATGGTTCCTTTATTCCTGCCAACATTGTCGATTGGGGGCGTAGCTCTATTTTAAATGGTTTTTCTGCTTTGTTTCAATCGCTCTGTTCAAAATCGATTTGACTATTGTCCTACCTTTAGCTAAATTACACGTCTTCTCTAAAATCATGGATGATCAAAAGGTAATTTACAAGCAAAAACCCATTACAATCAGATATTTTTCCCTTGATGCAAATCTTTCTTTTTGTCTTAGAGTGCATTCAGCTAATTCAATTCTTATGCAGTTCCAAAATTTCATTATGCACTTTATATAATTAAAGAGCAATTATAAATCCAGTTTATACGATGGTTACAATTAATAATTTTAAAGTATTTATCGATAAAATTGCTTCATTAGAAATGAAAATTAATTATGTAATGGTTAATGTTTAGACCATAAAAATACTTTTTTGGGGACTTTATTAGTCATTAAATGGATGAAATGCGTGGCTAGATGACGGAGAAACCTTGCGATTGACGGGTGCCTGTCTGACAAAATTGCAGTTGTAATAGACGAGACGCAAAATCAATTTATCAATCAGTTCTAGTACCACTTCAAGTATCTAGTATCTTCAGCACCCATAGAATATTTTACATGTATTTGATTACTGAAGACTTTTTGAAACATCAATTCTTAACGAATTTGCTTTCTATTTTAAATATATTTTAAGAATTTGAATAAGATAACACTGCAGTATTTTCATATGCAAACAGAGATAGACCTTAGATAAAGAGAGGAAAGAAAAATTCATTTTTTGAAACCTGCATAGTTTGAACTATTAGATTCATTTATTTATAAATTAAAAAATTTTAACTGATAATGAAACTAGTTATGCATAAAATTTAATAAAAACAAATATTTATGATTCATAATCGATATTTGGACTAGAAAAAGTCTTTTCAAATCTACGTAAAGGTAAGTTTATGCAAAATAGTTGCTATAATTCAATAAATATTTAATATATTCTGTGAAGCATTCAATATGCACTGCTCAACATAGAAGATGCAACATCATAAAAGAGTTGGTAGAATGTGGTGAAAATTGATACACAGACAGAGAATGCATAGGTAAATATATAATGCTATTTGGAAGAAGATAAATTTATACAGCGATGAAATATACAGGGCGATTAGTAGGAATTAGTATCCCTCTCGCGGCAATGTAAGCAGAACCTCTACGAGTGCAGATTCAATTAGAGTGCGGATTCGATCAGTGAGGGGTGGAAGCCCATCAATGATCCTTCATAGTTCGTCCTCCGATTGAAGATGTGGCAGAGCAGACATCAAGTCCCATATCGGGATTGGAAAGAGAGCAGGGGACATTCAGGCGATGGATAACTGGACATGTTGCAAGGCTTGTCTGTTAAGGAATGCTGTGATAGGTGTTGCATTGTCCTGCTGGAAAATATCATTTTGCAATCGTTGAATATAAGGTGGAATAACCGGCTGCAGCACCTCATCAATCTTTATCCTCCTCCAATATCTATCCTATCCTCCTGTATCACCTAGCTGTAAATATGCTTCTGATGCATAAAAGGGGTGACATGCTATCATGTCTGATGGCACCATTAGTCCACGTGGACACCGAAATCATTAGACTACGTGGACAAGTGGCTGTACTTTCAACAATAGTGGTCGGATTGGCTCTATCTCCAATCGTCTGATGACCCCGAAACTATTATGTCACACCACTTGTCCACATGGCATAATGGTTTTGGGTGTCATCACGATAGCCTGTCAACCATTTTTGTACCGCCAGACTTTCACTCGGCGACTATCATCAGACAACCAGAATCAAGACTCGTAACTAAACATCACATTGGGGCATTCAGTCATCCTAATTTCTCGTTCCCAATATCATTGCAATCTTTTACGTCGATGGGTTGGCGTCAATGGAAATCTTCGCAGAGGACTTGTGTGCAAGCCGCTTTCAGCAAATCATCGTGAAACTGTTCTTCCAGATATTGAAGCATCAAATGTTCTCCGTACATTGCGCAGAATATCAAGAGTAGGTGATTGTGGGGTAGCCCCACTTCCCTCCGGATGTGTAGATCTATGCATTTTGTTATATATGTAGGTGGACCTGGTCTTTTGCTGCAATTCACATTCATCTATCCATCTGGTCCGAATGTGAAACACAATGAACACATCGTTATGCGTCTCAGTAGCTTATAAAATGGCAATACCAACCAGATGTTCATAAATCTACAATTTGACCCCTCATAAAATTTTCTGACTGCCAGAACTGCCTTCGGTGTCTTCGTCCAGGCATCTCTTAATTCACACATACTTCTGAAATTCTCGAAATTCTGAATTCCGTAGGCGAAAAAGTGTAGAGACTGTTGGTTCGTACCCAGTTTCTATTCCAAACTATAATCACGTGAACAACTTGCATTTCAGATATCTGCATAACTTGTAGGCAGTATTTTCCAAAATGTTCATATTTATACTGTCGAATCTTTATGATGTTACCTTTTCTATGTCGGCAGTTTATATTCAATAAAATGTTAGTTCATGTTACAAAACGAAGTAATAGATTAAGTATTGGCATAAAAAGGCTATGAAAATCTGTTGAATGCGTCTTTTAAATATATTATACCATACAATTTGGAAAAAAAAAAATATTGGAATAAAAATCCGTTCTTTTCATAATAACTTTTTGTTCTATTAAAATATTGGAATTAAAATTCATTCTATTTAGTTTAATGTATTAAAATAACGTTCTATTTAACTATTAAACTTTTTATTGTTTTTTAAGTTATATTTATATTTTATCGGCATATATTGCTGTTTTAACTTCCCAATCCAGAATTAAAAAGTTGAAAGAATTTATTTTCCGAGTAAGAGAAGCATGATAGATCACATTTTTAATCTTGTGTGAACAAAGGGAGCGTGGTTCGAAACCCTATAAGTGATGTCGAATCGAAAGATTACATGTTTATGTCAGTCATGAAAAGTCTC